GCGGAGTCTAGAACCCACACAAATGGCTCAGGTAATGCAGCTCATCCAGGATGACACATCAATGCAAGCTGTGGCAAGAAGGTTTGCTGTGTCTGTCAGCATAGTGTCCAGAGCATGGAAGCGCTACCAGGCCAGTACATCAAGGAGACATGGAGGAGGTCGGAGGAGGGCAACAACCCAGCATCAGGACCACTACCTCCACCTTTGTGCAAGGAGGGGCAGGAGGAGCACTGCCAGAGCCCTACAAAATGACCTCCAGCAGGCCATAAATGTGCATGTGGCTGCTCAAATGGTCAGAAACAGACTCCATGAGGGTGGTATGAGGGCCCGACGTCCACAGGTGGGCGTTGTGCTTACAGCCCAACACCATGCAGGACGTTTGGCATTTGCCAGAGAAGATTGGCAAATTCGCCACTGGTGCCCTGTGCTCTTCACAGATGAAAGCAGGTTCACACTGAGCACATGTGACAGATGTGACAGGGTCTGGAGACACCGTGGAGAATGTTCTACTGCCTGCAACATCCTCCAGCATGACCAGTTTGGTAGTGGGTCAGTAATGGTGTGGGGTGGCATTTCCTTAGGGAGCCGCACAATGCTCCATGTGCTCTCCAGAGGTAGCCTGACTGCCATTAGGTACCGAGAGGAGATCCTCAGACCCCTTGTGAGACCATATGCTGATGCCGTTGGCCCAGGGTTCCTCCTAATGCAAGACAATGCTAGACCTCAAGTGGCTGGAGTGTGGTAGCAGTTCCTGCAAGATGAAGGCATTGATGCTATGGACTGGCCCGCCTGTTCCCCAGACTTGAATCCAATTGAGCACATCTGGGACATCATGTCTCGCTCCATCCACCAACACCACATTGCACCAGACTGTCCAGGAGTTGGGGGATGCTTTAGTGGGAGGAAATCCCACAGGAGACTGTCCACCATCTCTTCAGGAGCATGTCCAGGCGTTGTAGGGAGGTCATACAGGCACGTGGAGGCCACACACACTACTGAGCCTCATTTTGACTTCTTTTAAGGACATTACATCAAAGTTGGATCACCCTGTAGTGATTTTTTCCACTTGAATTTTGAATGTAACTCCAAATCCAGACCTCCATGGGTTACAAAATTTGATTTACATTGATAATTTTTGTGTGATTTTGTTGTCAGCGCATTCACCTATGTAATGAACAAAGTATTTAATAAGAATTTTTCATTCATTCAGATCTAGGATGTCTTATTTTTGTGTTCCCTTTATTTTTTTGAGCAGTGTATTTTATTCATAAATATTTTGAATACAGTATATTGTCAGGGCATATCATTTACGAAAAAGCAAAAGAAAAAACAAATATCAACATATATACTAGTAATAAAGATAGTAACAAAATAATTGTAACTCATTTCATGTATTAGCTTATTTATACTTTTTATGTTAATTATATCAACATGTTTCTAATTGTCAACCCCCTTTGTATTTAATTCCTACATCACAATAATATTCCTTTACCTAATTTCTAATGGGAAATAACATTTCATCTATGAGCAAAGCTCTTTCCAAATCCCATACATTTATATGGCTTCTTTGGTCTGGATCATCTTATGAGAAATAAGTTTATATCTATGAGCAAAGGACCTTCCACATTCTGTGCATTTAAAGGGCTTCTCACCTGTATGGAGCTTTTTGTGGCTTTTAAGGGTATTGCTCTGAGTAAACGTCTTTCCACACTCCATGCATTTATACGGCTTCTCCCCTGTGTGTATCATCTTATGGGAAATAAGATTACTTCTTCGAGTAAAGGTTTTTCCACACTCCATGCATTTAAATGGTTTCTCTCCTGTGTGAATTCTTTCGTAGGAAATAAGATTACTGCTATCAGCAAAGGTCTTTCCACACTCCGTGCATTTACAGGTGAAACTTGAAAAATTACAATATCCTGGAAAAGTTCATTTATTTCAGTAATGCAACTTAAAAGGTGAATGAGATAGACTCATTACATGCAAAGCAAAATAGTTCAAGCCATGATTTGTCATAATTGTGATGATTATGGCTTACAGCTCACGAAAACCCCAAATCCACAATCTCAGAAAATTAGAATATTGTGAAAAGGTTCAATATTCTAGGCTAATCTATTCAGCTAATTAAGCCATAACACCTGCAAAGGGCCTTTAAAATGGTTTCTCAGTCTGGTTCAGTAGGAATCACAATCATGGGAAAGACTGCTCACCTGACAGTTGTGCAGAAAACCATCATGGACACCTTCCATAAGGAGGGAAAGCCTCAAAAGGTAATTGCAAAAGAAGTTGGATGTGTCCCAAAGTGCTGTACATTAATTAAAGCACATTAATAGAAAGTTATGTGGAAGGGAAAAGTGTGGAAGAAAAAGATGCACAAGCAGCAGGGATGACCGCAGCCTGGAGAGGATTGTCAGGAAAAGGCCATTCAAAAGTGTTGGGGACTTTCACAAGGAGTGGACTGAGGCTGGAGTCAGTGCATCAAGAGCCACCACACACAGATGGATCCTGGACATGGGCTTCAAATGTCGTATTCCTCTTGTCAAGCTGCTCCTGAACAACAAACATCAGAAGCGTCTTACCTGGGCTAAAGAAAAACAGAACTGGTCTGTTGCTCAGTGGTCCAAAGTCCTCTTTTCTGATGAGAGTAACTTTTGCATCTTATTTGGAAACCAAAGTCCCGGAGTCTGCAGAGGCACACACTGCAAGATGCTTGAAGTCCAGTGTGAAATTTCCAGTCTGTGTTGATTTGGGGAGCCATGTCATCTGCTGGTGTTGGTCCACTGTGCTTCATTAAGTCCAGGGTCAACGCAGCTGTCTACTAGATTTTGGAGCACTTCATGCTTCCTTCCGCAAACGAGCTTTAAGGGGATGCTGACTTCATTTTCCAGCAGTACTTGGCACCTGCCCACACTACCAAAAGCACCAAAGCCTGGTTCAATGACCGGAGTATTACTGTATTTGATTGGCCAGCAAACTCACCTGACCTGAACCCCATAGAGAATCTATGGGGCATTGCCAAGAGAAAGATAAGACATGAGACAGAACAATGCAGAAGACCTGAAGGCCACTATTGAAGCATCCTGGTCTTCCATAACACCCCAGTAGTGTCACAGGCTGATAGCTTCCATGCGATGCCCCATTGAGGCAGTAATTGCTGCAAAAGGGGCCCAAACCAAATACTGAGTACATATGCATGCTTCTACTTTTCAGATGTCTGATATTGTTCTATGTACAATGCTTGTTTTAATGATTGCATGTAATACTCTTAATTTTCTGAGATTGTGGATTTGGGGTTTTTATGAGCTGTAAGCCATAATCATCTCAATTATGACAAATCACGGCTTGAACTATCTTGCTTTGCATGTAATGAGTCTATCTCATATATTAGGTTCACCTTTTAAGTTGCATTACTGAAATAAATGAACTTTTGCATGATATTCTAATTTTTTGAGTTTCACCTATATGGGGTTTCTCTCCTGAGTGATCTTTTTGTGGCTTCTAAGTTTACTGCTCAGAGCAAAGATCTTTCCACACTCCGTGCATTTATACGGCGTCTCCCCAGTGTGTATCATCTTATGGGAAATAAGATTACTTCTTCAAGTAAAGGTCTTTCCACATTCCCTGCATTTAAATGGTTTCTCTCATGTGTGGTGCGTTTTGTGGCTTCTAAGGCCACTGCTCTGAGCAAAGGTCTTTCCACACTCCATGCATTTATACGGCTTCTCCCAGGTGTGGATGAACTTATGGGAAATAAGATGACCACTTTGAGCAAAGGTCTTTCCACACACCATGCATTTATATGGTTTCTCTCCTGTGTGGAGCGTTTTGTGTCTTCTAAGGTCACTGCGCCAAGCAAAGGTCTTTTCACACTCCATGCATTTATATGGTTTCTCTCCTGAGTGGATCGTTTTGTGGCTTCTAAGTCCACTGCTATAAGTAAACGTCTTTCCACACTCCATGCATTTATACGGCTTCTCCCCTGTGTGTATCATCTTATGGGAAATAAGATTACTTCTTCGAGTAAAGGTTTTCCCACACTCCATGCATTTAAATGGTTTTTCTCCTGTGTGAATTCTTTCATGGGAAATAAGATTACTGCTATCAGCAAAGGTCTTTCCACATTCCATGCATTTATATGGTTTCTCTCCTGAGTGGATCATTTGGTGTCTTTTTAGGTCACTGTTATTAGCAAAGGTCTTTCCACACTCCATGCATTTATATGGTTTCTCTCCTGAGTGGATCATTTGGTGTCTTCTTAGGTCACTGTTATTAGCAAAGGTCTTTCCACACTCCATGCATTTATATGGTTTCTCTCCTGAGTGGATCTTTTTGTGGCTTCTAAGTCTACTGCTCAGAGCAAAGGTCTTTCCACACTCCATGCATTTATATGGTTTCTCCCCAGTGTGTATCATCTTATGGGAAATAAGACTACTTCTTCGAGTAAAGGTCTTTCCACACTCTGTGCATTTATATGGCTTCTCCCCTGTGTGGATGAATTTATGGGAAATAAGATGACCACTTTGAGCAAAGCTCATTCCACACTCTGTGCATTTATATGGTTTCTCCCCTGTGTGAATTCTTTCATGGGAAATAAGATTACTGCTATCAGCAAAGGTCTTTCCACATTCCATGCATTTATATGGTTTTTCTCCCGACTGGATCCTATTATGGAAAGTAAGTTGCGTGTTTGTTCTAAAACATTTTCCACATTCCAAACATTTATACGGCTCCTCTTTTGTGTCAATCACTTTTTGAGATATAAGGAAGTTACTCCCAAGTGAAAGAATGAATGTCCCATTGTAATTTTGTCCGTTGTATCTTCTTATAGCATCTTCTTTGTTGTTTTCAATTAAATAGTTCTCATTTACTTGCACTTTATCTTTGAATATCTGCACAGTTTTTCCAGAATAGTTTTTCCTTATTTTCTCTTCTTGGGCAAGAAAGTCTTGCATCGGAGCATCAGTGGAAGATGAGCTTTCCTGATTCCAATTCTTTGACTGGTTTCTCTCATGGCTTTCGAATTCCATTCGAATTCCATCTTTAGCATTAATCACTTGGAACAGTTCACAGGAATCTTGATTCTCCTGCCCATTATTACCTTCAAAGCAAAAGGGAAATGAAAATGATAACAAGGTTAGAGAAAAAGATCAAAGTGTAGAAAGTCAAGTGAATTTCCTTCTGAATTTCTCAAAAATTCCATTGGTTGTATGTTCGTTTGCATGCCTACAGTGGTGTGATAGACACGATGATTTCTATATTCATGAGTCATGAAAGCTTTGAAAATATCTGGAAAATGTCTCTTCCTTTACAATTATCTTTATATATGCAAATCTCACTCAGAATCAGTTCTGAGTTAAGGAATAGAATAGCTTGATTCCCTCTTTTTTGTGGCAGCCCCTGAGATAATGGTAAAGTGCTATCATGTCTCCCCTAGTCCTTCTTTTCATTAAATTATACATAGCTAATTCCAGCAACTGTTCATTAAATGTTTTAGTCTCTAGTCCCCTAATCATCTTTGTTGCTCTTCTCTGCACTGTTTCTAGAGTCTCAACATCTTTTTTTACTATTGTGGCGACCAAAACTGGATGCAGTATTCCAAGTGTGGCCTCACCAAGGCATTATCAAGAGGTATTAACACTTCACGTGATCTTGATTCTATCCCTCTGTTTATGCAGCATAGAAATGTGTTGAATTTTTGGCAGCTGCTGTACACGGCTAGCTCATATTTAAATGGTTGTCCACTCGGACTCCAAGATCCCTCTAACAGCTATTACTATTCAGCAAAGTACCACATATACTGTACCTGTGTTTTGTTTTGGTTTTTTTTGCCTAAATGTAGAACCTTATTTTTTCACCATTGAATTTCATAATAATCAGCGGAAACATCCACGGAGGAATTAAGAGAAAACTTAAGATTTATTGGGGCACTGCAGTATTTTAGACCCTGTGTTCTTTAAAGAACTGAGGACTACACGACTTCCTGCTCTTTTGCCCTGGATCTGCTGCAGGCCTTGGTTAGCAGTCAACAGAGGCCTAAAGCATTGTAGCGCAAGATCACGTGAGATCAATAGCGCTAGATATCCCACTACTGATCTCGTGTATCTCTCACTATTTTTTTCTGCAAATGCACTGAAGTAGGCAAGGGAACCGATGGCTCGCCACATCGTCAAGGTACCGTATTTCTCAGACTGTAAGACGCACCTAGCTTTAGAGAAATAAAACAAGAAAATAAAAGTTTTTAGACTCCGTGCATCTCATTTATGCCTGCCCTGGAATCCAGAAGCACTCTCCATGCCTGTTTTTGCCCTTCTGGACACCAAGGAGGGCAATAAGGGAATGCGCTGAGGGTATGGGAGGCCAAAAACAGGCCTGTATTTGCTCTATAAGACACACAGACATTTCCACCCACTTTTTGGGAGGGGAAAAGTGCACCTTATATTCTGAAAAATACAGTAAGTCCCTGCGAGATGGGGTGGGGGAATAGGTAGGGCGAATGTTGTAGCGCCTCTACTGTCATTCGTAAGTGTGAATGATGATCGTGGTGCTGCAACACTCATAAATTTTGGGAGTGGGTCTCAATACTTGGGGGAGGACTGGTCGTAACTTGGAATACTCGCTAAGTGAACGGTCGTAACTCGGGGATTACCTGTACCCTAGGATGCTGAGTCACACTGCATGAGGCCTTTGTTCTTGAATTGAATTGGGAGAATGCTCTTCCATGGGCTGAGCGTGAAAATTGTTCTCACACAATTTGGGGAGGTTCCAGAGGACAAATGACAACACAATCCTCTCACACGACCTCCAAAGGACACATAAAAGCACACCTTGTTCTTTTCAGCCTCCCACAGATAAGTTCAAATAGAAATGGAAAAATACAGATTAGAAATGGCACAGAAAGAAATTGACTCTTTCCTTCCTTGGAGCAAGACAAGGCCAGATCCTTTCCTTCTACTTCCCAGGAGACAATATCCAATTAGTGTTTTTTAAATAAAAAAAACTAACTATAATCTCTCTTCTTGATTGGAGACTAGAAAACTCTTACCCAGAGAGACCACGTTCCTATGGTTTTCAAGCATGACTTCCGAATGCAGCGCTTTCTGGTCAGGATCCAGCTGAGACCATTCGTCCTCAGAGAAATACACAGCCACCTCCTCGAAGGACACCAGACCCTCCTGGACATGGAAAAAAGAACAGGAGGATTCGCAAGATCTGTTCATCTTCATCATTGATTTAGACAAGAGGATAGAAAGGGAACTCGTCAAATTTGCAGACAAGACCAAATTGACAGGAAATACCAACACTCCAGAAGATAAGCTCGAGATATAGAAGGATCGACAGATTGGGTCCCATCTAACAAAAGGAAATCAACAGTGAGAAATGTAAGGTTCTACATTTAGGAAAGAAAAACCAAATCCACAGGCATAGAAAAGGTGATACCTGACTCAACTGCAGTAAGTGCAACAGGGATCTTGGAGTCCTAGTGGACAACCACTTAAACCTGAGTCTATCCTACAGGTACCAAAAAAAACCCTCCAACAGAATCATAGGCTGCATTAAGAAGGATAGAATCAAGAAGATACTTTATAATGCCTTGGTAAGACCACACTTGGAATATTGCATCCAGTTTTGGTTGCCAGATGTAAAAACGATCTTGAGACTCTGGTGCAGGGAAGAGCAACAACAATTATTATAAACTGGAGGCTAAAACATATAAAGAACGGTGGCTGGAATTGGCTCTGTCTAGTTTCATGAAAAGGAGGACTAGGGGTGACATGATAGCAGTGTTCCAAGAAGCAACGGATGGAAACTATTCAAGGAGAGAACCAACCTACAAGTAAACAGAAATTTCCTGACAGTGAGAACAATTAATCAGTGGAATGACTTCCCTCCAGAAATTGTGGTTGCTCCAACACTGGAGGTGTTGATGAAGAAACTGGACAGCCATTTATGGAAAATGTTATAGGGCTTCCTGTCTGAGCAGGGGGTTGGACTAGAAGACCTCCAAGATCCCTACCAACTCTGTTATTCTGTTTCATTGTTCCCAAATTCCCAAAGCAGAGATATGTTAAATGGCTGTGGATCACACAAGGCCTAATTTTAGGTGAGCAAATCTGAAAATTGGTTCCACTGAATATTTGGGGAAGTTTTATCAAGTTCATTGATTCTGCAAAACCTTCCGTGCCTTTCAGCAAAGTAATCCCACTTCTGAATCAACTGATCCATCGCTCTGTCTATCATTGATTGATCTAGTAGCCTGAGCCATTGGCTGAAAGGAAGAAGGCAAAGAAGAGAAAATTCCTTGGGAAAGTCATTTCTCAGCCATTGCAAAGCGGGAATGTTTGATCGTAAATCAGAGGATTGGAAATTATTTTGTAGTCCGAAATACCTTGATTACATGCTCAACATGGCCACTCCTTTTGGATTTTAATAGTCTATTTTTTAATACAATTTGCTTATTTTTGAACTACAGGTTATAAATAAGGCTTTTTAAAAATGGTAATGTGGCAATGTATTTCTTTTGCATTAGCCTTGCATAATTCCAAGTCAAATAATTACCAAAAAATTACCTGACACTGTGATACATTAATTCATATTTCTCAAAGAAAATATTTCTCAAAGCAATTTTTAAAAAATTGCTTCTTGTAAACTCAAAGTTGGAGGAGAACCTAGCAGAGCAAGATAACCAGAGGAAGCTATGCTAACCGACAGCAACTTGAATCTACTATTCTGCTCTCCATGTTGTAGAAGAACACAAAAATAATCCAGGACAAACAAGGGGGAAATAGAAGGACAGAGCGCTCTGCACACTTGCTCGACTTCCTGAAAGGAGATTACAAATGTAATATGTTTTCCCTTTCTTACTTGATTTGGAGGTTCAACCACTGTTTGATCGCCATCATAAGAACAAGAAAGCTTCATTCTTTGCTTCTCTGTAAGGAATAAATAATTTCAAAATGCATAATTAATAAAATAGGAGGAGGTATTCTATAGGAGAGAAGGGGAGGGAAGACAGATGGGGAATCGGAGGATCTTCCATTACCTCCTGAGGTGTCCTGACTTGGATCTTCCCAAGGGATCCTCCTGAAAAATAGCTCCTGAGGGGGATTTGATGGGTTCTTCTTTTCCTCAGGATCTCTGATCTCCACAGTGCAGCACTTCAAATAGGAGGAAGAAAGAAAAAAGCAGAATTAATGAACATCACAAGAAATAAAGTGGATTCTTATATTCGTAACAAAACCTCAAAGCCCTCAATATCGATCCGTGTGGCTGAATGAGAAAACAATAGAACAATGTCCTAGAAGAACTGGAGAATTGCTACACGTTATGAAAATGGGAGAAGTTTGGGAAGGACGGATGAAGCATTCAAACACTTTCTCTCTTTATTCCCTTCCGAGCTCCCTAAAGTCTCCCACCTGCCACTGGAGCTGCTCCTTCTGCTCCTCCGCCTGGCTCAGGAGGAAGCCTTCTGCCAGGGCCACTGCCTGGGAGCTGCTCTCTGCTCCACACTCCCGCACCCAGCACTCCATCTCTGGGGGTAGGAGAGCCAGGAGCCGCTCCAGAACCACCAGGTCCAGCATCTGGGCTTTGCTGTGCTTTCCTGGCCTCAGCCATCGCCTGCACAAGTCATAGAGTCGGCTGCAAAGTCCTCGGGGACCCTCAGTCTCCCAGTATTGGACGGAGCTCCAGGGTGGAACTTCAGAGGGGAGGCTGGTTCCCTCCTGCAGGATCTTCTGCCTGGTTCTGGTCCAACTCTCCCCACAGCTCCCAGGCTGAAGAGCCGCAGGGCCTTTTCTGCTCCCCTCCTTAGCCAAAGGGAGTCTCTCCATCCTTCGTCTCTCTGGCAGAGCAACTCCAAAGGGCTCCAGGGTCTCCAGGAGCCTCTTCCTTCACGGGACAATTTCTGGGTCCACAGGATGGATCCCTACTGGTCCGTCTGCTCTCTTCCTTCCTTCCTTCTCCCAGAGAGAAAATCCTGGCTTGCAAAGGCTGTCGAGAGCTCTAATGTTCCGGATCTGGGAGGAAGAGAAAAAAACGACACCCAGGATCAGAAAGGGGGATTCAGCCCCTGGACCCCCTTCCCACAACCTGCCCAGAGCCCCAAGCGGATCCTCCCACCCCAGGGCCCAGGGGCTCCCGAGCATGGCCGGGAAGGAGTCAGCAGGTGAGCCCCCCACCCCATCCCGCTTCTCTCTCCGGAGACAGGATCAGGCCCTCGGGGAGCCCTATGCGAATCCTGCCTCTTCCTCCTCGGCCGGCTTCTCTCCTCTCCTGCTGGACCTCTGCCAGGCCCATCCTCCCCTCCTTCTACTTGGCATGGAGAGGGCGGCTGGGAAGCATGGGACCCGGGAAGAGCACCCCCCTCACCTTGGAACGTCTGGATGTCCCCCCGCCAGATTCTCCCACAGCCTCTCCGCCTCCTGCGGCATCCCAGCGGTCGAGGAGAGCGAGTGCGGCGTCCTAGAGAGGCAAGGCTCCGTGATGTCACTCCTCTGGGAAGACAGCCATGACGTTCGCCCTCCAGTGGCCTGGAGTTACTTTCCCATGGCGGAGGTCGCCCCCTGGTGGATTCGGGGCAAAGGGCCAGGATGGTAGAAAGGGAGGGAAAGAGGGAACGTGGGAAGGGGAAGGGCGGGGATGATGGGCTTGGGAGTAGCGGGAAAGGCCCCTCTCCTTGGCTCCCTGTCAGACAGAGGCTTCTACATCTGTGCTTCTTTTCCCCCTTTTATGTGAACTCAAAACTACCTGACTCCGTGGTTTCTTACCCAAACCCCAAAAACTTTAACCTTAGACTTTCTACTATTGACCTCACCCCTTTCCTAAGAGGTCTGTAGGAGGTGAGCATAAGCGCACCAACGTGCCTACCGTCCCCGTCCTATTGTTTATTTTATTTTTTCTATATGTGTCCATGTATTCATAACTATGTTTTTGCTGATACCTATTATCTTGTAAGCAATTGACAAACCAAATAAAATAAAATAAAATAATGCCTTGAAGGAGGTTTTCATCTTTCTTCTCTGGCCTTTCTAGAGCTGTTTGGTTATTCCTTCTCTATAAAGTGCAACTCCACCTCCACCTCTTTCATTAGGTCCGCTTCTATATTTATTTAGAGAAGAGAAGAGAAAAGAAAAGAAAAATTTTTGTGGAAATCCCTGAGATATTGAAAGATGCCACCATGTCTCCCCTCGTCCTTCTTTTCCTCAGACCAGACACACCCAGTTCCAGCAACCATTTTTTAAATATCTTTTAGCTTCTTCTTTGCATTCTTTCTAGAGTCTGAAGATCTTATTTATTTATTTATTATACAAAACACAAAGAAAAATTGTAGCAGCTATTGAGATCCTATAGAAGGTGCTAGATGCTAGCAGCAAGCTGCAATGTCTAAAAACCTACATAAGGCCTCTTGGTTACTTGCATGATCTCATTCCCTATCTTGGTGAAGCTGAAAGTCCCGGACTTTCCAGACATAAAAGTGATCTCATTTACTAACATCATCACTAGTCTTAAGGATTGGTTGGGAGGTTGTGCCAATGTGGTTGGGAGGTTTCACCCATGTGGTATCCATTCTCCAATCCAGATGCTGTATCTATGTTGCCTTTGTCTTCTTGTAAAAACCCTATAAATGTAATAAATGCTGGCGATGCAGTCAGACATCTTTTTTAAAAAAAATTCCAGCCTGACAATTTTATCTAATGGACAAAAGCAAAGTCATTTTAGGTCTTTTTCTTTTGAACCCTTTAAATGTGAAATTATCCCATTTAATGGCTGGAGAAGGAAAGTGCACAAAAGTCCCAAACACCCCATTGTGGCCGAGCGAGGGCGGGTTCCCGCATGAGGGGATCTGCACTCTGATTGATTGCTGCAGGTGGAAAGGGGGCGTTTCCTTTTTCCCCACCTTTTTCTTCTCTGGGCTGCTTGAGATTTACCTCAGGATGTTCTTGACTTCTTCTCTGCTGGGAATGTTAGGTACATTTATATTGATATAAAACTACAAGTTTGTGTCTGTGTCTCTCATTTCTTTTGGGCAGCAGCTGTGCGATTCCCCCACATTCAATCTCTTCAGTTGCACCTGCCAGTTGTGGGTTTCTATTTTACCCCATGAAAGAGTTGGAAGAAAAATCAGGTCCAGGTCCAAGAAAGGAAGAAAATGGAGGCTGCTTAAGAAAAGAGGTTGATTGATGGGCAGAACCAAGAACAGCCTACAGAGCTGGAAGGGTCCTGGGAAGTCTTCTAGTTCAGCTCCCTGCTCAGGCAGGAGAACCTCCAGCATTCCAGACAAGGAGCTGCCTGGTCTTGTCTTCAGGACCTCCAGTGATGGAGCACCCACAACTTCTGGTGGCAAGGAGTCCCACTGTCTGATTGTCCTCCCTGTCAGGAAGTTTCTCTCCAATTCTCTGTCGCTTCTTCTCTCCCTGGAGAGTTTCCCCCATTGCTTCTCATCTTCTGGGGCTTTGGAGGGGAGCTTGGCCCCCTCTCTCTCTTCTGGGGCAGTCCTCCAAATACTCTCCTGGGGCAGCCAGGAAAGCAGCTGGGTGAGCCAAGGATTTTCAGGCCATTTTTGCCGTGTTTGGTGATCCGGAGGCTCCTTTTGGGGGAGTTTCATCCTCTGAGGAGGCAGTCAGAGCTGAAATCGCGGCTTTCCGGGGTTCCCTTCAGAGAAAGACCCTTCTCTCCATCCTCCGATCCACTCCAGCCCTTCTTTCCCCTCTGACCAGCTCTCTTGGGGTTACTCCCTGAAGGAGGAGGAGGGCGTTGGGGGCAGAGAGCAAAAGTAAAAGTGGGAGGGGGGATTCCTTCAGTCTTAGGGATCTGCAGCTCCAGGGGGGTCAGGGCAGGCCGTGCGGGGACCCTCCATTTTCTTTGCTCTCTTCATGATTCTCAGCTAGACTTTCCTCTGTGGGCATGGAGCGGTGGACTAGATGTCCGTTTCGGTTCCCAAACTGTCTCCAAGGGGGCCTTTCTGCAGCCCCATCCTGGCAGCCAAAAAAGGGGCACACGGAGGCTGCCCATATCCCGTAGCATCCCAAATGAAACCCTGTCCTGTGGCCCCCAAAGCTGCTTGAGCGGAGACAATGAGGACAAGAAGAACGCGGGGCTGGTTGGTTGGGAGGGAGGGGGAATCTTGGTGGCTCCTGCTTGGCTGCCTCTCTCATACACAGACACACACACGCACCAGAGTTTGGAGAGCCTCCCTCCCTCCATCTCTCTCCCTCCCTCTCTGTCCCTTCCTCCCTCCCTTCCTCTCTCTCTCTCTTCCTCCCCCCTCCCTCCCTCTCTTTCTCTTTCTGCCTCACTGTGGCAGCAGTTGCGCTTTAGTACCTGGCTGGTGGGGTGCTCAGGTAAACCAGTGCAGGGTGTGGGGGGGCAGCTCTGCAGCTCACTACCTTGCTTCATGTCCACTGTACCAGTGTGTTGCTCAGCCTCCTGCCCAGTTACAGCGGCAAGCAAGGAGAAGAAGTGCCGAAGAACAGAGAAGATCGAAGAGAGGCCAGGGTGTGTGGGGAGGATGAAGCAAGGCAGGGGGTGCGGAGCTGCCCCACCCACCACCCACTGGCTTACCTGAGGGCCCTTAAGCCAGGTCACCCATGCCAAACCCTCAACCCCCCCCACACCTCCCCTACCCAGGACAGCCACATCCCTTCACTAACCTGCTTTCCAGCTCCGTTCTCCATTGCAGCATGCAAGGCAACTAAAGTCGTCTGTGGGACTACGATAAAAAATACAGTTCAGACCTTCCAATTGTTCACAAAAAAAAAATCTTGTGAGGTTGAAAGGTCTGAACTAACTTTTTACTAACTTCTCCCACAGACTCCTTTGGTTGCCCTGCACAAGGTGACAGAGAACAAAGTCTGTGTACACACACACGTGGGATGGCGTGGGCCGAACTGAAGTGAATTGAGTGAGACCCTTACAGTTCCCTGGATGGTCACGCGGGCCTGGGCACATGGGGGAGAAGCCCTTCCACTACCCCGAGTGTGGGAAGCATTTCAACTGAAGCACCTACCTGACCTGCCACTGGAGGAAGCACATGGGTGAGAAGCCCTTCCGGTGCCCGGTCTGCAGTAAGAGCTTCTGCGACAAGTCGGGCTTCAACCCCCACCAGCTCATCCACTCCAAGGACAAGCCCCAACCTGTGGCAAGACTTTCATCTGACACTCGCAGCTGACCTCCCACGAGGGAATCCACACGAGCGAGAGGCTCTTCCGCTGCCCCGATGCGGGAAGAGCTTCAACCACAGCTCCAACTTCATATTCCACTGGAGGATCCACACAGGGGAGAAGCCCCACAGCTTCCCCAAGTGCAGGAACTGCTTTTATGACAAGCAGCACCTCCTACGGCACCAGGAGGCATACGGCAGAGAAGCCCTTCTCTTGCACCAAGTGTGACAAGACCTTCAGCCAGAAGAGGAACCTGGTGAGACACCAAAAGCTCCATGGAGCACCAACATTGCCTCCATCCTCACAGTGGACAAAGAGGTTCCATAACGAGCAGCAGCCTAAGAGGCATCTGGCCGCTCACGAGAAGGAACGAGGACCCTTCATATCCTGGAGTGTTGAGGTTGCATCTGACGGAGTCCTGGTCCTGCTTCCCTGCCGAGAATTCCCACATGAAGATCAGTCTGTCATAATTTCTCAGATTGAGTGACCAGATAGTATTGCTCCATTAGTCTTTGATACGACTTCTCCTTTTTAAAAATCTCTTGCCAGATAGAGCAGGGGTTGGGCAAGAAGACTTCTAATGTCCCTTCCAACTCCATTCTGATTGATTGATTGATCAGGTTGTGCCTTAATTCTGTACTTATGGTCCTGGCACATTTGGCTGACAGCAGTGCTGAGCATGGTTCTGCTGGCAACCCAGATGGAGACGTAAGAAGATTCATGATGCAGAGATCAAGAACTTTCCTATGTTTAAATTCTTTCGCACTCCATATCTGTATCACTCAGGGTGGTATACAACACTTACAATTGGTATCAATGCAATTATAAATG